TTTATTTAACTGTATTCAACAATTCTAAACATTTAAAGTAGCAGGTGTAATTAATTTACTTGAATTGTCATTCTGTATTGAATTGCCTTCTCCCTTCTTTTTAGTAAAATACCTCTCTGTGCACTATTCCTGAAGCTGCACGTTTGAACCTGGTGTGATTTGAACCTGATTTGTTGTTTAAGACTTCATTGGAGACCGAATGATTTGTTAAGACTGACGTGTTCTGCTATGATGAGACAGCTTTCCCAAGAACTATTACTATTGTTGTCTGCATATAACTGTTCTGTCCATCTTCAGAGTGGTAAATCTCCTTTATTTCTCAGCTCTCCATCCCACTCCATGTTCTTCTAAGAGCTAGAGAGAGAGAGAGTGAAAGAGAGAGAGAGAGAGGAGAGAGAGAGAGTGGCCCTGATGAACCTTCATCTAAAAATATCCCCCCCTCCTTCATTTTAGCACTCCAGAGTCTCTCTCGCATTCTCGCTTTCTGTATAATTTACAAATACTCCAACACTGGTCATCACAGTCACAAGTGTGCGAAGACCCCAGGCTGTTTGTTTGGAACTGTTTAAACAAACAGTCAGGAATCATCTGCAGAGTTCAATTCAATTTTATTTGTACAGCATTTCAAATGTAAACTCAATGGGCTTTACACCGAAAATTAAAAATGAAACAATGATCAAAAGTAAAGCTTTCCAGAGACACTTGACAAAGACAGCAGGTCTAGACTGTTTTCTTTTGTTGTGGTGTAGTGTCTGAGTTCTGATTTATCATATTTTAAAGAACTGCATGTAATGTTTATTCATAAATTCATCCTTTCAAAGGGAAGCCTGAGACATTAGCATATTTTCTGTGAGCATATGTTACTCCACCATTGATATGTAGGATGTAACTCTGAAATAAAGCCATATCCCAGATGAGTTAATGAAAAGTAGTAAGTAAATGGTAAATGGATTTGGACTTGTGCTTTTCTCGTCCTCTTTTAGGCCGCATGTTCCATTCACCTACTCACCCATTCAGACCACATACACACTGATGGCAGAGGCTGCTATGCAGAATGCCCATCATCAGGGTTACATTTTTTCCATCAAGGACACTTAGAACATGTGACTGCTTTAGCTGGGAATCAAACCCCTAACCTTCCAGTTGAGAACCGACACTACCACAAAGCCACAGCCGCCCCACAAGCCCTTGTTTGGAGGGCTTTCTGAAGCTGGTGTCGTATTGGTGCATTATGATTATTTTTTCACAAGGCATTAAAAAACCCCACCTGTCTCAGTTGTTGTGCTCCAGATATCAACTGAGCGTCTGACAGGCAGGACATTTGCAGCTTTGTTGTGAAATTCACATGGGATTCGACTGAAAAGGAAGCTATATGTCTGAATACAGACACACAGTTAAACTGAAATGCATGTGAATCCAATCTGTCGAATTTTGATTTATGTCCATTTCTGCTCTTATTCTCATCTGTTTGATTTGTCAAGCACTGGGCTGTATGTATGAAGGAGCTCAATAAAATGACTTGGAGTTCTGTTGGGCAGCAATGGCTTCTTCTTTAACCTATGATCTATTCATGTGGCTTTGGGTTTCTCTATTCCATTTGGACCAACATTTGGTTGAACAGAGATTGAGTAAAAGGAAATTAGAAAGAAAGACAAAAAAACAGATGACATGTACTGGCATGTTATACTTATGCTAAGTTGTGCAGGTCAAATCTGCCACTGTGTCCATTTCAAAAAACATTTAAAGACTTGCTTTTTTTTTTTAACATTGCACAATCTTATTTGGCAAACATGTAAATGGAGGCTTGGACATTTTTAAAGAGCATTAACTGCATTCTGCTGCAGATAACACACATTCTTTATGCAGCCTGTAATTCATTCCCAGCAAATATTTCACCCTCTCCAAATCTCATTCACAGAGTACAAATGCTAAAGACATTTAGTTTTTTTTGTAAGAAAAAAAGAAAAGACAAGAAGGAAAGGAAATTATTGTGAAAGTATTGCTCAGGGTTCAGACTTGGAGAAAAACAAAAACAAAATCCATGTAATACTGCTGCTGGAGTCCTCCCACTCATAAACTCTGCAGGGGGGCTGCAAAAACACACACACACACACACACACACACACACACACACACACACACACACACACACACACACACACACACACACACACACACACACACACACACACGCACACAGACACACACACACACACACACACACACACACACACACACACACACACACACAAACACTACTATAAATGTGTTTCTCAATCTCTCTACCCATTATACGAGCACACACTCACACAAACTGAAACCTACACTTAAAAATGCACACACACACACACACACACACACACACACACACACACACACACACACACACACACACACACACATAAATACTTAAACCCTTTCAAATAGTTTATAGTGTTGGGTCTTTTTCCCACGCATGCTCAGCTGATTCAGGAAGAAAAAAGGAGGGGAGTATCGAGGGCGGGGGGTTGGGAGATTTTGGGGTGGATGAGGGGGGGTAGGGGAGGTCCACACAGCTGCTGTGTACTGTTACCATGGAAACCTTTGTTTGAACCGAAAGGGATGAGCAATTACATTTTGGAAGGATTTATCTTTTTTTCAAGCAAACAGGTCACCATAGATCTGCCTTCACTAAATGTCATTCATTTTTGATTTTTGAACCAAATAAGATGAGAAACACGTATGAGACATTGCCACGCCCTTTTGTTGGAACTAAATTTACAAGGCGGCATATTTTGAGGCATATTTCTCTATTGCACAAACCATAAAAAAATATAGAAAATTCTCATAAAAGGCTGAAGGATTAGGGGGTATGTTAAAATAAATAAGAATCATAATGTTAATAGTATACCCATGTTCATATAACCACACAAAACCAACAAAATGTCACACCATGATATTTTCTATTGCTGAATGTGAATGACTAAGGAAAGTTTGGGTCAGAAAGTGATCAGTAATACTGTATTGTGTAGACAGTGTATCAGTGTTATGGTCTGTGGCAAACTACTCCAAACAACATCAAGCCTCAGGTAAAATCAGATTTATGATTTTGAGCTGATAGAAATAAAATGTACCTGACTGGATCTCAGGTGTAATGGGGTGAAGCAAAGTAAAGCATAAATATCTTAGAAGGACTATTAAACAACTCTCGCACTGATAAGCAGGATTCAAGTTTTGTAATTATCCAATTATTATTTCAATTTATTCAATTTTGAACTGATTTGGTATAGTTCTTCATCTTTAGAAGTTATTTCTATAACTATTTCTATGTCCTGAGCACTGATAAATTATCAGAAATCATCTCTGGTATGTTTATGTTAAACTTTATTGTAAAGCCAGTTGCTGCAACATCTCATTTATCCAGGATTCTGGATATGTATGCTTTCATTTTCTCCCACATCATTTCCACTTCTCTTACCTTCTTTTTTTTGTCCATTTACCTCTTGATTCTTAACTCTCCCTGTTCTGCTTATCTCTTAATCCTCCTTCTTATTCCAATTTCCTATCTGAACTACCAACTTCCTCCTTCATTTTTATCCATGTCTTCACTCAGTGGCTGTTATTTTGTCTTTTCAATGATTTCCAGCTTTCCAATAGAAATGTACAATGATTTTGCATTGCTTAATATCTGAGGAACAAAATGCATCTCCATGGTTAAGTTTTACCAAATGGACCTACAAACCTTTAATGAATTAAAAGCCAAACACGGAGGAGCAGCCTTCAAAAGTAATCTGTAGAGTCAGAGCGCCCCCAGCAGTCTCACTTTAGACCTACACATCTGCCATGTGAGGCAAGGAAAGGCAATGCAGCTTTTTCTTTAGAAAAACACATTTCATATATATTCATATAAAGTCAAAGTAAGATCCAGGGTGATAAAAATAAAGTAAGTTAGTAGTAGATTAACATTTAATCATTTAAATCTATAATTGTAGCAAAAGTAGTTGAAAAAGATCATTTAAATTGGTGTTTAAAAGGCTATACAAATATCTAAATAGGCAGCTTACAGTTTTGATCCTAGACAACCATTACTGTCATCTGAGGGAAATACTGATTTCCCCAGGCACATGACTTTCTGACCTATTCACTCAAATAAAATTGAGCGTGTGAGATTTCAGAGATACTTTACTCTGACTGCACTATATATTATGGGAAGTGTTTCATTTTGTAATCTCAAAAGGAGCAGAATGGTTGTGCCTCCACACTAAAGGTACAACTCCATTAAATGAAATCTACATCACTGAGCCAAAGACATGTGAGGTTTAATGAGGTAATACACTCTAATAGGTCTGAATTATAATGTGTATAATGTGTTCCTAAGTGTATTTGACACTTACATAAACAGTGAGAACTAAGAATTATGTGACATAAATGTGATATGTTCTGTCTTAGGCTGGCTGATAAAACAATCTCAAAAGTAATAATGTAAGTGATGTTATCCTGTATCAGAAATGTAGAAAGTATTTCCAAACGACGGTAAAACAACATCCACCGTCTACAGGGACATTGGTGGTATATTTGACTTGTTGAAATTGTCTCTGCTTGTAAAAATAAAGACATCAAGCCTGTAATCATAAACTCTAACTCATGAACACTCCCAGATTTTTCCATACTTTCTCTTTCCATACTTTCACTTTCACATTATAAAGCATTATAAAAAATTATGTCATTTTAAATTTGAATATGACAATTGTATTAAGAAATAGCTAAAAATGAATTAAGGTAAAAAATATTGATGTCAAACTTGTCAAATTGCCTTTTTAAATAGAAATCACATTTAAATAAGACACCACAAATGTCATTTTCTATCCTTTTCTGCTTTAAACTGCAATGTCACAACAACGCCATCTAGTGTTGAAGACCTACTCCGCACATCTGCTGCCAATGACGTCATGATCCATACATACATTTAGATTTATATTCTTAAGACTCACATCCTAAAGTCAGTCAAATGAAGCATGGAGCACATTTAGAGGCATTCAGTTTAATTTAATGTTGAAGAGAGTTCAAAGTTATGATCCTTTAAAAAAACAAAAAAACACAGAAGCAATGTGGACGTATAACTGTCCGAGCTAACAAGCTGGGAACGATCCCAAATGCGCAGTGTACAAAATATCACAATGTAATATGTAAAACACAAAAAAGAACACATAATACACAGACAAGCACTCCCAGTTGATGTGGATTGGTATTTACATTAAATAAATAGAAAGAGCCAGTAAATAACACTGAATGCATTTGGTTAATGGAGGACATAAAGCTGAGTTTATGCTGTAAAAGAGCTGACCAGTTATGTACCTTTTATACTACAGACAGAGCAAAGTTATCCTTCAGTCCATGGAGGTCCAACAGCTCTCTCTCTCTCTTTTTAAATCCAAAATGTCCCCTGATACATTTACATTCAAGCAAGCTCAGGACTCAAGGTAAAGCCTGAAATGTAAGACACCAAAAGATATTTGATTGACAATGGAAAGAAAAGGGTGTCTGAGCTTTACTTAACTTGATAAAGAATTGGCTGCCATGTGGGTAAATACACAGGGGAACTCAGCTGCACATCATTAGCTCATTGTTCAGCACACGTTTTTCACCAGCATGTCAGACAAACAACAACAATCAGCAGCGAGGAGAGAATTAAAAAAAAGGTTAACAGGTAAACAGCTCCCAAAACTTCTTTAAAGCCTCTCTGTCAAAGAAGGAAACATTGAGATAATCCATCATTCCTCTGCATATTAATGAAACAGCATTGCATTACATATAACCAGAAACATCAAAAAAAAAAAAAAAAAGTGTAACAGCTTTATGCAGAAATAGAAATTCTTCACATTTACCTGCTTTCAGCTACAGTTGGTGATTTTCCATCAAGCAATGAAACAAGTCCACCCCAAGTCTCAAAGGGTCAGAAATCGATTTCTTCTTCTATTTCTATGTACATCTTACATCTGAATATTGATTATTTTTTCCATCTTTAGAACGTTACTGTGCCCTGTTTGGTAAACACACAAAGTAAGTGAGTCCACGACTTTGAATAAATCAAAAATAAATAAGACAACTCCATATTCATGTTCTGTAAACTGAAGTCTCTCGCACACAACATCAACAACAACAACATGGGTGAAATGAGGACAAAAAAAAAGAAAAGATATGATACTGTACATTATCATCCGTTTTATATCTGTTAAGGTGAACAACAACAGAAATCTGTTCAAATATCCATTGACACACTTTAGCGTGTGTTATGATGTGTATCCCTGTCTCAGCAGCACAGCAGTGGTTGCTAATATTGATGTTTCATGTTTTTAAGCAGCTCAGTCACATTTTAATGGAGCTTTCCCAGCATGCCCAAATGAGCCTGAAAAACTCTGTTTCATTTTCAGGTTGTATTTACGAGCTGAAAGTCACTTTGTGAACCCGATCTACAGTACTTGGCACCACAATGAAGACAAGGAATACTAAGATCTATCCTGTACCGTACACTTTGTGTTTTTGGGTAATTTCTGCCATCTTAGCAATGACCACTGACACCACCTACTTACAGAATGATCTGTCTCATGTTTTATCTACAACAACTTAGATCATGGCTTAAATAGACATACCTCAATGCATCCATCCACTTAAATCTTCATCAAATTAAGTCTTTCATATTGTAACATAATAAACCTAGAACCCAAATCAAGTTCCTCACCTCTACCTCCCTTCCTCCCCTCTCTCCATCTAATCTCTTTTAGCTCTCCCTTTCCTCTTCCTCCTCCCTGAGTTCTCCTGGGGCTTCTCCTCTTTACTCCCCGTCACGGCGGCTCCGTTGGCGGCCTTGCTGAGCCCGTTGAGGGAGCCGTTTGAGATGGCCTTGCTGGCTTTGGAGGAAGAGGAGGAGGAAGCGTCGCGTCTGGGCTGCTGGCGGCGGTAGGTCTGGTAGTAGAAGTTGCCGAAGAGGATGATGAAGGTGACGGCGTAGCAGATGAGGGAGTAGTGCATCCAGTGCGGGAAGTCACAGTTGACATAGAGGGACAAGGCAGTGTGGCCGATAGTGACGTGGAACTGGATCTAAGACAGAAAAAAAGGAAGTAGAATCTTATTTTTGCAATGGGTTTTGTTTTTTAACAACTTTTCAAAAAAAGTTTTATCATTGAGATGAATCTTCTGAATTGTTTTTAAGGAATGCAATTAGTCATTTCTTACCATCTGGATGATAGTCAAGTATTTCTTCCACCACAGATACTTTTGGATCTTAGGTCCACAAGAGGCCAGGCCATAATACAGATACATCAAGACATGGATTGCTGCGTTCATGTGTGCACCGAAGAATGCTGCAAGTACAGGAAAACATTCATGTGAGTTTTGTGATGCTTTGAGTACAGTTTTATTTATTACAAACACAACCAATACTAGGTTATTTCTTTCCATTAATGACAATAACGTAGGTTTTTATATTTGTAACAACATATATATTTCATATTTTTTGACCATAAATTAGCTTTGCCATGTACATTTTGGTGCTCAAAATGGATTTGTTACAAACAAACTAAATTGTGTTTCTAGGGGCGATGGTTGGTCCAGCTGTAGGTTGTGTGCACATGTACAGTCTGTAGTCCTGTCATGTCATTCCCCGCTCACTCCTCCTGCTTTATAACTTTAACTGTCCTGTCCTCACCGATAAAAGCATAGCCCAAATAAATCTTGCAATTGGTTCTATACAGTGCATTTTTTACAATCATACGAGTTATAACATTTTTGAATACTTAGCACTGATTGACATTATCGAATCTGCAGCACATATACCTACAGCATCAAAAGCATCAAATCCCTCCGAAATGTTTTCGTTCATGGATGGAGTTGTTCAGTTGGCTTCTGGCGCTCAAGTATGAATATAAATATGTATAAATCGTTCAAACTTTGCAGCTAAAATAAGCAATGAGAAGCAAAGATGACGTGGGTTAAGCCGCCCACAATGAAAAACAAAAGCCTTCTGAGGCGAGCATGCTGCTACAGTGTTGCGCAATCAGGCCACGGTATAAAAGGAGCAACAATATCAGGAAGGGGGTTACAGGGGATCCCACGAGTGGATTTGCACTATAATAATTTAATCTTTAAGTACCACAGTAACAGAATGAAAAACTTTGGATCATGGTTGCATAAACTTTGGGCAATTAAACAAATCTAAAATAATTCTCAGATGGAGGTCTGAGATATAATATGTCAGTTTCGGGGTCCTTTTTTAGAGATTTATTGACATTAAATAAATGAATATGTGTGTATAATAATGCATTTTTGGTAAAACTACAAATCATATCTGCTACATGATCCTTGCTTATATACTTCATTCACACTACATTGTCCCTTATTTGGTAATGAAATAGTTGGCAAATCCTAATAAGAATAAATATGAAGAATAAAATAGAAACCTATTTGAGCATGAGCTACTCACACTGTCCTCCTGCCACCCATTTGATGCCGATCCACCAGAGCGTGAACATGCTGCAGTGGTGGTAGACGTGCAGGAAAGTGACCTGGTTGAATTTTTTCCTCAGGATGAAAAACACCGTGTCAAGATACTCAATGCCCTTTGAGACGAAATACCACCACAGAGCTCCTGCCACCTGTGTCAGACAGAACAGCAGAGGTGGAGGGAGCAGACAGGAAAGAGAACATGGAGAAACAAAAAGAGAAAAACAGAGACAAACAGGAGGAGTTTTTTTTTTTATACATGAAGCTCTTTGTGTAAGACATTAACAAGCGGAATAGATTAATCTGACTTCCACATTAACTTGTACCTTCTTAAAAAACAAATGTTCTTCCTTGTCTATTCTAAAACATCTCAATATCAAGGTCACCTGAGACCGAGTAAGTGTGTCAGTCTACGTCATGGAGCAAAAGGAAGGAAGGTGAAACTGAACACCTTCCATCATGCCTGGTGCAGCTCGCACCTTTCCTGATAACAGGAGCAGAGTCCAAATGGTGGAAGTTGATCGTGCGACTCAAACTACAGAGAGTGAAGCTTCTCTGGCAAGCTGACAAAGATTGTATTCATCATTAGTTGTATTAAAAACGCACAAAAGTAAAGTAAGATTTATCTGTTAAATATGTTGTGTTGTAGTAAATAAGGAGAGGTGAAGTAGTGACAGCATACACACATGGACCATGTGATAATATGATACATCATAGGGCAGATCAGGTGCAATCCATCTCGACAAACGCTCCTTTTTCATTAAATACGAATGTGTTTCTTTTTGTTTACTTCACAAGTTGAACTCCTGCCTTAGCTCCAAACACTCACCCTGACTTCATTGGGGTCATCTGAGTAGTCCACAGATTGACAAATGTAGCTGTAGTTTGCTCCCCGCGCTGCCATAAACAACTACAAAACAAAAGAATATGTTAGAGGAAACAAGAGAGAAGCTGGGTAAACACTTCCACATAAACATCTTAATAAGAAATACAGGTAAACAAATTTCTGTAATAGTAACCTACTTCTTTAAAGATGAAGAAGTTGAGAAAGACCATGCTGAAGTTGTAGACAATGAGCGTTTTGCGGAGCTGGAAGGGCTCTCTGTTCTTCATGTATTTGGGTCCCAGCCAGAGGAACAGCAGGTAGGAGGTGCTGATGGCCAGTGTGGGCAGGGGGTTGTCCATCAGGGGCCATTTCTGCACCCGCTTGTCTGCAGGAGGGACAGATGTTCTCAGAGCATTACATAATCAGTCTTAATGTTTGCCAGTGTCAGTGTCAGTTTATTCAAAGAAGGGTCCAGGTTGAAAGGTTGATTAGATATTCCAGATTTATACTGTTGCAGAGATGTCTGGATGTCAGTTTTTATAAACACCTTAGTTTAATTAGTATGCTTGTGATACTTTCAGGCAATGACAGATAATACTAATTCTCTTTACAAAAAAAAAACCCCAATATAAATCCCTTCAATATATTCAATGACATCGGTTTCACAGGTGAATTGAAATAAGAGCTCTGTGTTGATATTGTGTACTGATTCTAATTAAGTATTTAAAATATATGTCAGACTTGTTTTAAGAGTACAGTTATTTGTATACTGGCCCACACAATGAATGTGAATTCAGAAACATGTAAAACACAATTTCTCTGAAAATAGACTATGGCAAAAACACAGGATATTACCTGCAATGGTTAAAGTCCATTTGTAGAACTCTATGGTGTCATTTATTAAATGAGTGACAATCTCCATGGCTGCAGCTGAGGACCTGAAATAGAAGAGAAATGTGAGATGATGACATATAACACTTAGCTTTATACAGTGTTTAGTATGCAGAGCTGGATTCACTGGTGTCAAATTCCAAGAGATTAAGAACCAACAACGCCTCCTTAACATAATAATCACATAACTTTAGACATTGTTTCAATATTGAAAATTCCTCAATGAAACGGCTTCATGCCAGCAGCTGGTACACCTCAACCTAAATGAGTGTGTGGCCCCATGAGGCCGTGATAGATGAGCTATAGGCTTCACTGCGCACAAAGGCAGGGAGCACTGGCCGGCACAGCGCATGTGTCAGCAGGTTTCAGGCACGAACACAATCAGATCACCAACCTGGTGATGATATAGGGGGGATGCCTTGTGTCCCACTTTCACGTTGAAATAGGTCAAAAAGGGAGGAGAGGTTGTTGGTGGCACAGTCAGAGACTCACTATGATTTAATGATCCTGTAAGGATGGATGGCGCCCCCCGCCCCCCTCCTCTCTCTCCCTCTCCCTCTCCCTCTCTCTCCAGCCCGGAGCGGATCAGGCTGCTGCAGCATCTGCCTCCTCTGCTGCTCCAGAATAAACTGCTCTAAGTATTAACGACAGCCTCTATCTGTTGGAATAAACATATAACCCAACGTGCTCCGTTTCTGAAAACAATTTGGATAATGTTTGTACAGTAGGGTTGATCACAATTTGCGTGGCAAATTTGCATTCTGCGGCATACAGTCCGGCCTTCAACCAGGCTGCATGAGCACTCCTGTCATCAATATGAATTTCCCCAAAACCGTCTGCGCTGTTTTCGTCTTACATCTGGAAAACAAAATAATTGTTGACCATAAAAGATGAGCTACATATAGGTCTATTTCCCACAACCAGACTATGCAAAAGAGACATACAGCCTAGAATATCACAACATTTATCTCGCCTCCACTGTGTGCGGGTGTAGATGCTTATTACCTTACCGTGTCGGTGCTTTAAAAAAAAATCCGTCTATAATGACATTCAATGCAAGGTCATGCGTTGTGCGGTAATCCGGCTCGGATTCGGCTGGACTAGTTTTCTATTAATTTATTGAATGTTCGGAATCCAGTTTGGAATAACCGGACACTCGAATTAACGGCGATGGCATGAATTTGTGGTTACGGGACCACACACTGGCCTCCACAGCGCGTCTGCTTCAGCGAATTCCTCTTCTGAACCTCGTCAACAAGCGACAAGGCACAGAGTGTACACATCCGGTTACACTTTCAAAATAAAAGTCCATCAACCAATAATAATAGTAATTCAACCTCACACCTGTTCAGTTCATAAAATCTTTCAACTTAAAACATGTAATCAAAAGGGTTCACCAACAATAACAAGCAACAATATATTTCTAATGCTGTAGTCTATGTTTATTTTCTTGGATTGGTTCTATGTTCTCCAATCAAAGACCTTTATTTGAAAGAGATGTTTTTGTATTTCCGGTTTGCTCTTTGTTTTTTATGTCTAACTTGATGAAGTTCCGCTCCTCTGCTAAACGCTTAACGGGACGGGATGATGGAAAGATGCTTTGCGCCTGCGCAGAGATGGAGGCGGATGCAGCATCTGCGCTAGCTCAGCTTCTTCGTGAAGTTAGACAGAATAACAAGGAAAAGCAGAGCACTGTCCTTTAAGACAAGACTGTAAAAAAAAAAAATATATATATATATAATGCCTTGTTTTCTGTGGAGGTGAGTTGTGTCTTCGCGGTAAAAAGCTACAATAAGATAAGATAAGATAATCCTTTATTTATCCCACAATGGGGAAATTTACATTGTTACAGCAGCAAAGAGCAAAGATTGCAGACAAAAAGTGAACACAGTACAATTTAAATTTTAAAAAAAAGTAAAATTAAGAATGTAGAAAAAAATAGATTCTAAAAAATAGATTAAAAAAATTAAAATAAAAAATGGTGGTAGACATGGAAAACATGGTAGAACATTAGCTTAGAAAAATAAAAGATGCCCTCTGATATAAAAGTATTTAAAAAACCTACAAAATGTCAGAGATTTTACGTTATTTAACTCCCTATATTTGTATGTATTAAATGATGTTGTAGGGCTTAAACCCTAGAAGAAATGAGAAGAACTCATTCACTTTCATCTGAAATGCCATATTCTGCTTAATGTTTCTGAAAAGTAAGAATCAATCTCACTGTATGAAGTATTTCAAAGACTTGGGACGCTGTCTGTTGAAAACTATATTTTAAAAAGGATTTTATTTAGAAGGTCCTTTAACCACAGTCCTGTATCTCACCCTGTCTGACTTGACTTTCGCTTTCTCCGCTGCTGCACCGGTTTCTCTTGTCCTCTACCGTGCAAGCTATTTGTTATAATTGTTTAAGTTTCTGTTGTACCTGTGACACATTTATCAGCAGGTATATTGTGCAGTCTGTACTCAACGCTACTATGCAAAGAAAGGCGGATATTCCCTTTGTGGACTCACTTCACTGATGGCTGTGAGCGTCCATCCTAAAGGCCGTCTTCTCTCTTAGAACTGGAGCTAGTTCCTCATATGACAATGGTCCGGTGAGATACACCTCTGGTATTGCAGCGATTCGGTCGAGGCTGTTTGAACAATGAAGATTTGGAGCACGGAACATGTGTTCAGGTTGGTCACACTGTTTTTTGTTTTTTTAATTATTATTGTTTTATTATTTATTCTGCGAGTATTCATGAGACAGAACTACTTGGTTTTTATAGCATGTTTATTCACACGACCTTAAACTTCCTTAACTAAATTTTAACCAGTTGTGAAAGTCTGAAGCTCATGATGGTGATCAGTGAATCCACCTGCCATATTCATGCCAATGGACTGATGGTGAGTCACCATTAGAAACATATCAGGAGTCAAACACCAGTCACAGTCTGTCCCAGAGTTTAAGGCAGGCCTAAAGGAAGCACTTTTTCTTTATAGGGCATTGTCTTAGTTCACCATGTGAACCAGAATTAACAAAGATCATGACACATGTTTCTTACACACTCTTCTTCTTTGCCAGTTTTGCTTGATTAAGCCAATGGTGTTTTGTTGTAGTTCTTTGTTAAGCATCTTAGTAGTTTCATGTTTAATTGTTTATTATCTTCACATGACGTATTCAGTACCATACGGTTTATTTTGTGTGCAGTTACCCATGGGAGACAGTGATCAAAGCAGCCATGAGGAAGTACCCAAACCCCATGAACCCTAACGTGGTGGGGGTGGACGTGCTGGACCGCGGTCTGGATGAAAAGGGACGCCTGCACAGCCACAGACTCCTCAGCACGGAGTGGGGCCTCCCGGGAATCGTACGAGCAGTCAGTGTCTTCTTAACCTTCTAGAAACAAACAGGAAAAGAAGCACCGAAAAAAGTTGACATGTGCTTTTGCATGACAAAACTATATTGGGACTAACTTCTTCTTGGTTGCCTTTGTGCCTTGATGGAAAGATCAGTTGAAGACCAAATTTCCCACAAGCTGTTGTTTGTTTATGTGTTATTGTGTTTGTAGATTTTAGGAACCAGCCATACTCAGACGTATGTGAAGGAACACTCAATCGTGGACCCAGAGGAGAAAAAGATGGAGCTCTGCTCAACAAATGTAAGTTCAAACTGAGTAGATCTGCAAGCTATGATCTCAATTAGCATGCATTAAACAGTCCGTTTAGCACTTGTGACTAATAACAACACTAAAAAAAACGTCACTGCTAAAGCAACACATTTTCACTCTATATGAGAATGTTATGTGGCTGGGAGGAGGGTCCTAACATGGATTGAGAAATAGCAAACCTGAGGATCTATTTTTAACTTTAGTTCCTTCTGGATATTTATCCAAGCAATTTTATCTCTTGATGGTGTTTGACTGTGCACCAAAAGACTTGTGTCTACAAGCTGATAGATGAGCAGATATAGGAGGGAAAGATAAAGATATAAAGGACCTATAAATCAGTCTTGTGTTGCAATGGAAACATGAACTTACATTATTATCTTTCAAAATATCTTGAGGTGTTTTGTGGATATTTTTTTCATAAAATGATTGTTATAATAAATAAAAAGAAAGTCTCTGGTAGGGGCAGTAAAGACAATTCAGACAAGATGATAAGGAAATAAGTGCACAAAGATTTCCATACTATGTAAAACCTGTAAAACCTCATCTGTAGTTTTACCTCTGCCTTCACCTTGTTGTATTACTGATTTGCTGCAAGACTGTATTTTTGTCTCGTTATTTTTTCATTGAAAAAAACTCAATTAAAGTATTCTGTTTCAAATACTAGTCAACCACATCCATATGGGCAGGCTGTTTTATGTTGTTGCTGTAAAATGGTTCATAATGAATACATGACTAAATCATTATAATAATATTAATATTTGACATGAAATATAAGTTCTTATAGAAACTGCTCTTTCCACATCAGTTGTGCTCACTGTGTTTACACTATATGATTTCAGGTTCATTTCCCCTGAATAAGAAAATGATGTTTATCTTCCAGATCACTCTCACCAACCTGATCTCAGTAGATGAGAGGCTCCTCTACAGACCACACCCCGACAACCCTGACGTGTAAGTACATTGTGCAACTATTCAGTGTTTCATGTTGTTTTTTAATACTTTATTTATAGCTTTTTTTTTACAATACAGACATACAAGATAGACAAGAACACCCAGCAGTATCACACAAAATGATGAAAAGAAAAACAAAAAGAGAGGCAAGGGGCACACCTCTAGATGTCCAAAGCTGCCAGTAGACAGCGAAATCTAATTCAAAAAAAGACTGCCCCTCTTTTAGAAACGGTCCTGGGTAGAAAACCAACAAAACACAATGTTTGGTAGAATTTCAGTGAACAGAGAGCTTGTGTCGACCTATTTTGATATTATAACAGCCCACAGAGAGATAAGAACCTGATGAGTGTTTGTTGTTCACCCCTTAATCTTCTCGTGCTCTCTCACTCTCTCTCTCTCTCCACCTTCAGTACTGTCCTGACCCAGGAGGCCATCATTACAGTAAAGGGAGTGAGTCTAAGCAGCTACCTCGAGGGCATGATGGCGAGAAGAATGTCCGCAAATGCTAGGAAGGTAACACAAAAGACAAACACATTTCTATTCATGATTTTCTTTTGCATGCTGTCTAACTGAGACGTACTTGACCCCCTCTGATAGTTTCTCTGCAGTTTGCAAGTTTCCTGGATAAACAAATCTAAAGTGTTCACCTGCCTCTCTCAGTGTTTGTTTCTTCTCTAATCTTCCGTTTCTCTGTGTGAATCTGTAGGGTTGGGATGCGATTGAGTGGATTATTCAGAACTCTGAAAGAGAGAACGTGCCTCTCTGTGATATTTACTAACTCTGGTAACTCTTCTCTTTTCTTTCCTTTGCAACTTTATCCTTCAGCCTTACCAGATACTTAAAAGCATGCAACGCCTCTAAATCCATTTTTATTACACATGTTTCAAATAGTGCTTAATCATTTGTCTGCACACTCAGGACTGCAGCTCGGCAGTGACAACATCTCTTCCCAGCTACGCCTCATAAACCACAAGGGGGGACTCTCAGCATCTCGGGATCCTCTGCAGTGGGATTTTTTATACCGGAGGTTTTGTGGGTTTTCACCCTGCTCTCATATCTGGAGTCCACGCACTGAAAGCTCAGAGAGAATGTGTGATGCTGCCAAAGCTGAATGGATCAGATACATATGGATTTAAGGAAGTTAGGTGAGCCTGAATGCTAACTCAGTACTCTATAACACATTAACATCTATTGAAATTAGTGAAAGTAAGAAGACCTGGACAGTTTGTTTCTGTCTGCTGAAACAGCACCAATGCTGAAAGGTTCAAATCCAAGTGGTCCTTTGTAGAGGAGCTGCATTAACATCATGATTATAACATTACTACCCCACATTTCCTTTGCTCCCATGACATATCTTAGCATTCTTTAAAAGTGATACAGAAAGTACACGGGCACACTTTGACGAAAACAATGTATGGTACAACAACAATATGCAACAGATTTTTTTACTTTCATTTGAACTGCTGTGAGTCTTCTGTCATGTCGAACACTGGTGACTCCTGCAGCAGGAGTTCAGTCAAAAAGTTGCTTCTGGTGCTTTTATGTGTTTAAAGAGGCACAAAGTGTAGAAGATATGTTTGCATGCATTATAGTAAAAACAAAGTTGGATGAGTAAGAGGGGTTATAAAAGACAATGGCTGTGTGTGAAATC